ACAGGCTACGTGGCTCGTACATGCTAGGAACACACACACACACACACACACACACACACACACACACACACACACACACACACACACACACACACACACACAGAGAGAGAGAGAGAGAGAGATTTACCTTAAGTGTCATCTTGATAGGCCACAAGTTTTCTGAATCTCTACGTGGTGGAAGACGCAGTCCCTCCAGCTCCTCAGACTCTTTGTCAAGATCACACTCTGGCATTCTTTTCGAAGGGAGAAGATAGTCGGGTTTTTTCACATACCCGACCCCTCCATTTGCCTTGAAGAAGCCATGCACCAGCCACAGCATCCTGCCTTTCTTCTGCATGTTGATTGCCGCCATTTGTGCGCCATGCGCCCATGCTGTCATGGGGTTGTAATTGGTTGATGTCACCCTCGATCCCTTCGGATAAATCCTCAGCATGTTCAGCTGAGTGAATCTGTTATTATCAAACCCAGCCGCCCCCCTCCTTCCCCCTCCTCCCTCCCCCCCAACGCCCCAGGACAGGACAACAGAATAACAAACGCTGTCAAATTACCAAATACACCCAGCAAATTTCCATCTGGGTTTCAAAATTGCAAAGAACACTACAGGCAGAAAAAGGATTCCTCCTGAAATCATGGAAAATGCAAAGAAAAGTCCAACATCTATGTTTGCACGCAAAGGAGTTCTGGTTTTTCAAAGGGCCAAAAGGTCCACTTTCCCACAGTACAGGCACCTTGTTGCATACCGTAATGGTACAGACCAGAACAAGAACCAACCTCTCTCACACAGTACAGGATAGCGCCGAGCATACACAGACGAAGAGGAGGGGGATCAGACGAAGAAGAGGGGAAAGATGGGAATGTTGTCAACACCAAGTCTTCGGTACAGGTGCCAAATAATCCATTGTCCAATGTCTCAATCCCAATGTCAAGTCTGAATCCAAATGTCGTCAAGTCCCGAAGTCACCAATCTCTCTCTCTCTCCCGTAGTCTGCAGATACCGAGAACTTCGCGAGAAGTCAGGTAGCGAGAGGGTGAGGGAGAGATGGTGGAGAGGAGGAAGAAGAAGAACTCTCTTTCTCTCTCTTGTACCAAGTACTAACCTGTGAAGGTGGCGCCTTGTTGCAGGTACATCGAAGACGAAGCTGGAGCTATGGTGCCACAGGTAAGTCTCCCTGGCCTACGCCCTTCTCTCTCTCTCTCCCAACGCTACTCTACCTCCTCGCAGCGCCCAGCGCTGAAGACTACTCTAGCGCTATCTACTACTACTGCATCGCTCCTCCAGAGTGCTGCTGCCGAATCCTGAAGACTGCCTCCTGCAACTGCCCGTGAACTGCACGTGAAGTGCCTGTGAACTACCTGCAGCCTGCAGGGCGGGCCAGTACTATATAGTGCTGGCCCGTTCGAGAGGCTGCTCTTGCCAATGCCGAAACATGCCAGACCCTGGCGTTGAAGTCCAAACATAGGTGGTCTTGAAAACAGGCCTCACTGGTTGAATATGGAAGCACTTGAGGCCTGAGACATCCAGAAAGTCCTTGCCCATGTGGCAAAAGTATGGAGGCAGAGGAGGATGGTAAGGAAGAGGTGCCATGTAGACATAAGAGGAGAATTAACCACTCAATAAAGAGTTCAGGTCCTTCAGGAGAAGGAAAAGAAAGGCGGACATGAGTGGGCAGAGCCAGAGAAAGAAAACGATGCTCTGAGGCAGAGGGATCTTCTCGGACTCATGATGCTGGTGACAGCAGCGGTAGGAATGAAGCAAGCAATCGCAGCATAGAAGATGAGGAGAGAACATTGGGGGACCGTTAGAGGAGGAGCTCCAAGGGGAGGAATGATGGGAGCAGCTCCAGCAAGGATCACAAAGAGGGCAGCACGGCAGGGTGAAGGTGGAGGGAGACGAGAAGCACAGCACTGAGGAGGGTAAGGAGGAGGGGGAGAAGAAAAGATGAAGAGGGATGAGGAGGAGGAGGAGGAGGAGGAAGAGGAGGGGAGGAGAAGGACAGCGAAAGAGAAAGAGCCCTAGGGATGTTTGAAATGGGGGGCTAGGAATGTTGAAATTACCGGACTAGTTCTTTCGGATACTTCTTTGCTGCTCTTTCAAGTTGAACCTCGCTGAGGCTAAGTCTCTTTGCTTTCTTCTCCTTGATGAGCAATCCCTGCCTCAGTGAACTCTTGGGCTTTCCGGCATGAATGAGAATAAGAGATCTGTACTCCATTGTGTCGCCGTTCAATGTCATCTGAAGCTGAGTCTCTGAGTCTGATTCTGCAGATTCATCACTGTCAGACTCAGGTTCATCATGATTCACAATGTCTTCCGGTTCCAGGCCCCACTGGTCGTCATCAACATCCTCCTCCTTTTTTGTTTTTTTCTTCTGTACAGACAACATAATCATTCTTATTTTGGAGACATGCTTTTTCCTTGCACCCGTTGATTTCTGACGAAGTTCAGAATTGGAGTTCATCCGCTGTGAAGGCATTGTCTTAACCTCTGGTGGCATTGTTGAGATGATGATTCGGTATTTCAGTGACTGTGGTGAAGGGAACTCCGGGGCGTCAGTGCTGTCTGGTATGAACAATTGTTCACCGAATACTTTCTTCAAGAGCTGGAACAATTGCAATCACCCGACAACCACCACCAGCAACAAAAGAAGTAAACACCAACATGTACAAGGCCTGTGAGTGAACGGTACACACTTGAAACTGTGGATAAAGTCAGAGAAACAGATGAGAAGTCCCAAGCTTGGTAGACCTAACAATGGGCTGCTGAATGCACGGCAGAGAGAAAGACGCCAACACCAACTGTTACAGCGATAGAAGACCACTTGCCCAGGGAGAACGGAGCTGGAATAGGAACGGGAACAGAATCACAAAGGCGCAGGAACTTAGACTGAACGTGGATTGCATCTGGATTGCATCCTTTGAACCAAATCTGGGCTTTCTCATGAGGTGTGCTTTTTGGAGAGCTTAATGGGTAGGATGAACTCTTGTTGCATTCCTGGTTGGGCCAGCATGTTTGAAAACTCGGCTCAGGACTTGGACAGTTGTGTGCGAGAGTTTGTTTTGTGAAGATCGATGTGGAGGGATGTTGGCAATCCCTTTTTTTCTTATTTGATACTCCTCACGCATGCAACTACATGGCTTAAAAACCAGAAGGACTGGATATTCCACACTCACACACGAACAACCCACGCTCATCCTCGCATATCCCTCACACATGCACACACACACGCACATGCATGCATGTAAACACAAACAGTGTGGCATGCGTCTCGTACCTGTCTTCAGAGAGAATAGTGACGACCCAAAAGTCAACACAATTGACAGAACCAACAAGACAATTTAGCGAAACCCCGAAATCAACCCATGCGAATCATATGTAGAACAAAGAACCCTCCTTTCTGACAGACGACCTTGGGGAGAATAAGGATCCCTCCCTTCTCACCCACTGTTCAGCAGCAACCAGCAACTTGAAGTTGTACTGCGAGGACCTCAGGCCTGTGACCAGGTAGCCAAGCTGTTAGACCCCTAAGTCCCAGTCCGGGCGGGCTGGGCTGGTTTGTCCAGCAGGGATTGGCAGTCCTTATGAGAGGGAGTGGACCTCGGCTGGGGCACCAGGCACACATTCCGGATGTGGGCGCTTGCCAGCTGGAGGCGCTGTGTTATTGTGCACAAAGCAGCAGAGTGGCTCAACATGCCAGACACAATGCCAGCGGTGGACTGCCACAGAGCACTCGCCCCACAGCTTGGGTTGGCGAGCAGAGGAAGGCTGCAGGGAGGAAGAGGTCCTCGGGAGGACTGAGGAAGGCTGTGGGAGAAGAGGATACTTACCTGCGGTTGGCAGGGAGCTCCTGTGTGTTCAGTCTATCCAGCGGTCATCAGCGTGTAGAGGATGAGCTCCTTCTCAGATCATTGTTGGCTGTAAAAGAAAACTTTGTGGCATTAGGCAAGACTTAGCTGACGAAGACTCAAACTTTTGCAATGGGACTCAAAATTGGCAGAGTAAGAGCTCAAAGAACCGAGGTAAAAAAAAGCACGAAACAATTCTGAAGGGTCCTAACTTGTGACTGTCAGTGAGTCAAAGTTCCAGGTTCAGAAGTTGGTCACAACACCTCTGTAGAGGCGCAGACTGGTCCAAGCACACACAAGCTACAACGGAACCTTGGCTTCATACATCGGGAAATCGCAGACCATCAAGGAGGCAAATCGAGCCAAGTCAGGGGGGTTCAACGCTACAGAATACCGGCCTGCCCTGCTGGCTCACTCATTTCTTCTGCCTTCTACTGCCTGGCTAGAGCACTACCGCCGGAGCACTGGCACTGCAAGAAGGCAGACATAAAGCAAGAGTCACGGTGACAGTGAGCGCTCAAGTTTCCATATCTAAGATTATAGTGGAAGCACCACATATCCAATTCTCGCAGTCGAAGTTGCTGCATCGAATGGCTTGGCGTAGAGTCGTAGACATATGTCACAGGCTACGTGGCTCCTACGTGCCAGCAACACAGAGGCACACCTACCACAATTGTAAGGCATTGCTGTTCAAGCTTATGTGTATAAATTGGACACGACATGTCAGGATGCCGTGCATGAGTGAGTACTGACTGTCATCATACGTATGAGAACAAAAACTTGCATGGGCTATCCCTTCATAATTATCGCAGCACAAGGCATGTGAACCACATTCCAGATGGATCTCAGGCGGTTCATCACAGAGAGGCATTGAGCAGGTATCATGCCATGGTTTCCGTAGTATTTATTCCCTCTCTACGGGAAGACGACAACGGGGATTGATCCAAGGGTGCTTAGCTGCTGCAGAATTCGGTCTGCAACAGCTCATCCTGGTGGAGATATCCTTTCAGTACAGCGCTCTGTAGGTGGTTCATATGGTAGTCTATCGCCCTCCTCAGGCTGCTGTGTCTGTCATTCATCTGGGAAGTGCCCAACCTTGCATGCTGGACATGCTTGGAAAGGATGTAACAGATGGTGGCATTGGGGGTAGTCAGCGCAATAGAGACACATACTGTCTAGGACAGCTTCTGGAAACATTGACAACACACAGCATGTTGCTGACATGTCAGCAGGAAAGCCGGCCCGTGATTGCAGCTATTGAGATCATGTGGCATGTCGAGACCACGACGGCATGCTGGGCAAGTAATTAGGGGGTGGGAAGGATGAGTACAAGACGCAGGATCACAGTTTTCGCAGTGGAGGCTGGCAGTGACCACCTCTTCATAGTCTTCAGAGCAGAGACTATGCCGTGTGCATGCTAAGAGAACTGTAGTTGTGTGACAACAGAATGGGATGGCACATCCATCGTCCTCTGGAGAGGCCTCTTTACTGTCCACGGTAGAATCCATCCGATCGACAAAGGGAAGACTCTCATCCTGTCCATGCATTGGGGAACGATGTGGCTCAGTCGATTGCTCTCTGGCGGCTGTAGAGCTTGCAGGTACACATCGACGTACCGTTCTCGATGGACAAGCCAGACCGAGTGAAGTTCTACCGCTTGGTGATAAAAAGAGTTTAACTTAATGTTTCTCACTGTGTGCACCCTTTCACGATTATCCCATAGAGTCCATGAATTATCCTCAAAAGTAACAGCCCTGAGATGACCTGGACGATGTAGGATGTACGCACAAATATTCGGATCTATGCCTGGCACGTGATTATGTGGAGCAGGCAAGCTCCCCTACCGAACCGACAGCAAGGTATGGAATATCCGAGACTGTTCGTACGAGATGCAGCAAGGTATGGAATATCCGATTATGTGGAGAATGCCCCTACCGAACCGACAGCAAGGTATGGAAGTGTCCCTTGTGTCGAGCAGACAAGCTCATGACAGAGGTTCGATTCGAGGCCGCTCGTACGAACAGTCTCGGATACGACGAAAAGTATAGGCAGTCGGAGGTCTGGACGGATAAAATTCTATTAGCTAAATTAGTCGGTTTGCCACTGGATCATCTCACTAAGCATGACAGACGTCGGGCTACCGAGAGATCCAGGGATTACCGATGGATCAACGGTCATCTCGAAAAGCGTAAAATTGACGGATCGGGTTTGTGGTTGACGGTTCCTCATCCATTTCAGAGGTACGATTGGACCCAATCTGCTCACGAGGAGCAAGCCGCTCATTTTGCGATACGTGTCACAGAGGCAACTATAGATCAGAATCGATGGTTCTGGTCTAACATAAGGGACGATGTCAGATACGTAGTTGTCTGTGCCGCCGATCGCGCCCCAATATGGGGGCCGAACACAATCGTACCGACATAAGTAGAGCGTCCTTTCCAGCGAGTCAGTATGGACACAACTGATATTGACGTGCCACCTGGCCCAAACCGTTGTGAATATTCCATCCTTTTAGTTTTAATAGATCATTTTTCCAAGTACATCAAGGTCTACCCCTTTAAGATTCGTAAGGCCGCAGAGATAGCCACGTACATTGATCGTTTTCTCTACACCCACTTAGATACAGAGGAAATCCTAACGACAATGAGTCCGAATTTAAAGGCGAAGTAGAGAAACTGCTCGTGTGCTGAGGCATCACGCTTCGACATACGGCACCCCACGTCTCCCAGTCGAATAGGTTGGCTGAAAATGCCAATCGCATGATTAAAACAACCCTCCGTAGAAATCTAGCGGCGCATGACACGCGTTCGTGACCCGAGATTGTATATCCAATCGTCGGAATTCACCATGCCACCCCTCACGAATCCACACTAATAGCCTCCCATGTATCGATTATCGAGGCCACTCGGAAATTGCCGAAGCAGGGGGTAGAGACACGCGTGCCGGCCTTAAGGCTAAGGCCAAAAGGTAGGCCGATTTGATGGAAAGGGTTATCCCGAAGCTAGCCCGAAAGAGACAGAAAATGATTGCTCTAGCCCATGGGAGGCAAGTCCGTAGCCACAAGGCCCGAAATGGGAATGCGGGTCCCCAACATCAATATAAGTTAGGGGACCTGGTGCAGGTACGTAAATGTGCACGCGACCGGAAACTTGCTCCCAAGTTCTCTAGTTGTTTCCGTGTTGTCGAGGTCGGACCCAGCGGGGCCAACACGGCGTGTATCGCGCCTAAGGCCAGCGCTAGCCATAGCTCTGTCCCTATCATTCGCCATACCTCCTACATCTGTCCCCTCCCTCCTTCTGATCTCCCTCCGTCTCCCTCATATGTTGAAGACGAGGACGACGACGATTTAGCCCCTGCCTCGATCTCTCCATCTCGTTCCTATCCTTCATCTTCTTCCCCATCCTCGCCACGAGCGAGCCCTGGACGATCATCTGCTACAGCCACGTGGCTACATCTTGGAGGTCCGACAAGTTCGTCATCCGCGGCTCAGTCCGGATCTTCAACGACTGGCGCAGATCTTCTGCACTGAGGGTGTGTGTGCCGCCGCAGCGTTCCGATTTGTCCGAAGTCCACAAGCAGTTGTATTGGCAGAGGTAGTGGCGTTCCATCGGCGAGCGGCTATAGGGACGAGCCATGTCACCACGGTCGCTGCCTTCAGCGGTGACATCACCGCTGTTAACTCCCTTCGGCATACGACGATCTTGACGTCGTTACGGGAGTGGACGTAGCAGTTGTCGACTGAGTGGCAGCATGGTCT